AAGAGTAAATTTTATTTGGCTCCAGTAGGCCATGATACTATGCTTTGTTTTTGATCTTGACTGTTATGTGATGGTCATTGTTGTCCCAACATTGATATGGATATTGAGAGGGGTAAAGCTAATGACACACCAGAGCAGAGCAATTAGCATGTCCTGGATCAGTTGTACAAATCTCATTTCCCAGCTTTTGTCAGTTTTTGGCCTTTGCCATATCCTGAGCTGGCACTTTAAATAATGGAAACCCTGAGACAGATTTAAGTTCTGTGAAGTGAGTCTTTTGCAATGTTATGGATCTATTTAGGAAAAGAACAAAGCTGGTGATGTAAAAACAGATGCAGAAAAGACTCCCACAGACAAAAAACGAGAACTAAGAAGGAAAAAGCTCCGTAAACGTATGAGGAGAAAAGAAAAGGAGAAACGTCAAAAGCTTCTTGAAAAGATGAAACCAGAACAAGGCACAAAACTTAGCAAGAAAGCTGCTGCAGCAAAATTAAAAAGGCTTACCAAAGAAGGCAAAGCATCTCTACTCAAGGTAAGACTGAAATCCCAAGGATAGATAATTTTTCCCTAGACATGAAAGGAAACTTTATCCCAAAGAATTACAAGTATAAGATTGGAAAACTATGAAAAAGCTGTATGATACAATTACTCTATATAAAAGTATGTTCATCAGGCAGAAATTATTTGTGTGAGGTACAACTTATCTATTTATTTCAAAGTTCACAAGGTGATATTCCTACAAATACTAAGACATGTTCTTTATTTCCTGCATTTAAGCTATTCCACTTAATCAGCTGGGACTACTTGAATGCACATTGAGGTTTCTATGTTCTGTCTAAGCTTTGGGTAACTTAAACTGTTTTATAACACAATATTCCTGTTTAACTTTTTCTTTACTGTGGAGCCTTCCCTATAATCTGGTCCAATTGATATTGTTTTGCACGCTATAATACAGTAAACTTGTGCACCACTTATGATGACTTTTAAATGAAATTCTAAAAGTCTGAAATTTTGAAGTATTAGAAACTAATAGGACAAGTAACTTCTTTACTTCCAGATGTTTGTACTTACCTTTCCAGAAGGCAAGTAGAACACAAAATAGAGATACCCAGTTGTATTTCATGATGTGCAAGGATCTTGTTCTTGATGCCTGCTCTTACCCATCATGCTAATTGCTACTTAGGAAGAGAACGTAATCTTAATTTCTTTACATAGCAGGAGTGGAATAAAAATGTGGTAAACAATATTCTTTGAAAATCAGTTACCAGATCTTTCTTAGGTCAAATATCATTATGCTTGAGTAACTAGTAAGCAATATAATGGAACTGTTTGTACATTTCTTGGTTATAACAACTGTTTTGTCCAATGACAGGATGAAGGTAAAGACAAGGCCTTGAAATCATCCCAGGCCTTCTTTTCTCAGCTACAAGATCAAGTGCGAATGCAAATCAAAGATGCCAGCAAATTAAAGAAGAAACAAAAGAAGGAGAAATCAATCTCTGTTCATAAACTGAAGTTGTAATTTGCACCTTGTATAGATTAAATTTTTTTTTCCACATTTGGGTAAGTTTTATTCTGTGTTGATCTTTAAAATACTTTGTGAACTTCTGAGGTGATCTTCACACAGTTTTCTGTAGATTTTACTCTTATTTTCTACCATAGAACTCTGATTTATTCCAAAAAGAAAGGTTCTTGGTGTGGGGAGATACATAACAGTCTGAAACATTTGACATGTGCTGTGACTATACAGTCTCTTTAATCTATAGCCCAGAGCTTTGTATCTGCTGTTGTAATAGCTCTGGATCTATAGCAGGAGGAACTGCATTTATTGAAACTTAAGATGTATCCAGGCATTTAAATTACAGAAATTATCTTTTGAAGTTGTGATTGGCAAAGAGGGAGGACACAAAAGATTTTTAAGCCTGTGGTAACCCAGAGCTAGGAAATGGCATCTTTTGACTTAGACTGAGTCCAAGAATGGTTTGGGTTGGAAGGGACCTCAGTGGGGTTGTCTGGTCTAATCTCCCTGCTCAAGCAGGGTCAGCCCAGAGGCACATGGCACGGGATTGTTGTGGAATAGCTCCAGTGAGAGAGACTCCAGCCTCTCTGGACAGCCGGATCCAGTGTTCAGTCACCTGCACAGTAAAGAAGTTGTTCCTCATGCTCAGTTGGAAGTTCTGTGTCTCAGTTTCTGCCCGTGGTGCCGTGTCCCATTGCTGGGCAGCACCGAGCAGAGCCTGGGCCCTCCTCTGGCACCTCCCTGCACACACCAGCGATCAGATCCCTTCTCTTCTTGCTTATTTTAACACTCAGAGGAATAATCTCCCATACCAGCACCGTTTTCAGGGTCCATACAAACAATCGTTCTCAGGGTGAAAATATTTAACTATTTGATCTTTCCTTGCCTGAACGAAAACAAAACCCAAAAAACAAAACCGAACCAAAAACACACCAAAAAACTGACACCAAAAGAAAGCTCCAGTTGCTGCTCCTGTGGCCCTCCGCTGTTTTCCACACGTTGTCGTGAAGGGAAGTTTTAAATCTGCGCAGGGCCCGGTGTTTGCAGTAGACCCCGCTCTGCGTGAGGGAGCGCGCGGAGCGCGGCGCCCGCCATCGGCGCTCCATTGCTCAGGCCTGGCGGCGGGCGGGAGCGGCGGCGGCCCCGCCCGGCCCTC